TTCTTTAAATTAAAGTAAAATATTAAAGCAAAATTTAAAGCATTTCGTTCTTTTTAATTTAAAGATATCCTTGATTAGATAATTCAGGAACCTGCCTCTGCTTATAATTATTTAGGCTACTCCTTGGCAAAGACCAAAGAGCTATCAAATATTAGGTAATTTTTAATTTTTTGCCAATTTTATTTTTGATTTGATTTACTTTTGTTTCAAATTTTCCCAGATTTTTTATTCAGTAGTTTTGGTTTGTTCCTTCCTGTCAGAGAATTCATCATTTTAGATTTATATTAATTTTATTTCACTGACCGGCATAGAAAATGTAGCACCATAAAAGATAGGTTAGAATATGATGTCAGTTGATAGAGACAAAGTAAATATATTTAGATAAATGGTGTTATTTAAAGATAAAATCATACAGCGCTGAAATATACAGGGAATTAGTAAAATGTACGACTACTTCTCGCGGCGTTGCAAGCAGCAACTCTACGAGGTACCGATTCAATAAGTGTGCGGATAGTATCCTGAGAGATGGAAGCCTATATACTTTGAACCCTCCTCCAAAATTCGTCCTCCGTTAACAGGTCGGGCAGAGCAGACAAGCGATAATCAGCCACGTTCAAGATATGCTCCATAGGCAAAAGGCTTGTCGGCTTGTCTTGTAGTTTTCCTGGAACAATTATAAGTTGTAAAATTAAGAATTCAATAATATTTTAAGCACTATATTGTTTTAAAATAATTGCACACTTTTAGAATCCTGTTAAGATTTGAGTCCAATCTGTAAAAAAGTCATTTTTCTGGAACATTCACATCACAAATTTGATACTTCAGGGAAGGATTTCCAAACATTTTTACACGCAATATTATAATTATAAACATTTTATGCACCCATTAATTATTACGAATAATCATAAAATTTTACACCATACTAGTTTTCACATTTATAAGTAATATTTTATCATTTGTAATATCAATATTGAAATTATAGTTTTTATTTTTATTATTACAATTTACAATTTTCTTCTTTTACGCAAAACTAGAAGACCCCACAGCTTTCTTCTAGTACACACATATCCAGCTATTTGGGCAGACCCACTTTAACGAACTCATGTATTAAATTTACATGAGTGGTTAAGAGTTGTTTGGCAGTTGTCTATAAAGGCCTCCGTTCCTTGTTTAAAGGCAACTGGCCTTTTGAACTGCATTGTAGACCCCATTTATAAAAAAACACACTCCATTATATGAAAAATTAAAAATTCTATATAAAAAATGAAATAAGTTGGAAGGCTTAAGTTTATATTATATGAGGGGGGGGTAAAAGGAACAGTTATACAGAGGTAAAACAGGCCTCTGTTTCTGAACCAGTACTCCCTCAGCATACTTTATATTTAACATGAAATTATTGATAATTATACCAAACATTCATTTACCGTAATTCGGAACAAACTTTAATACATTTTACTCTTAATTAAATTCTCATACAAATTTTATTATGATTACTTCATTTCTTAAATTCCTTGGTATTTATATATTAATTTTAACAATATTTAATATTCTCCCATTTAAATACTATTTCATTTACATTTCATATAGACATCATTCTCAAAATAATTAGAAAGTTCTTAAAATTCAAATTTCAAATAATAATCTAATTCACGAAATAATTCCAAAATTTTTATCTTGTTAACAAAATAATTCCAAAATTCTTAACATTAATTCAAAACTTTTGCAAAACTTATACTTACTAATAACAATAAAATTTAATAAATTCAATAATCTTCCCTGAATAAAATCTCAGAATACTTATACATTTTAATTTAATATTTTCATAAAGTAGTGCTACTCTTTTTTTTCATCGAATTGAAATCATTATTATAAGAAAGCATTATATTTTCAGATTTCAAAATACAGCCAATTATTAAGTAAGTTATTTATAATGATGCACTTGGAGAGAACTGAAGAAACTTTTTTTATCACCGTAACATCAAAACACATTTTTTTTTATATTGTCACTTGATTCCTTCGAGGAAAACAACTTTGAACATTTAAATTGGAATCGAAGAAATTAATCACATTTCGGTACCACTTTTGATAATATTTCACTTTCCAAATAAGCACTTTTGAGACGTCGTTAAATCACTTTCCTACTTGTTGAAAAACACACTGCCTATAAAACTATTAAAAAAAAATTTTCGTGCACTATAGTTTGATGCTATAGTGACCTTGGTCTGATTCGGAATTCAAGTAGTGATGATCACTTTCTTTTTATTTTATCCATTAGATTAGTTGAATAAACTCTGCACTGGGAGTTTCACGCATTTAAGAAATGCCTGTCGGTTCGAACTTCGGCTGCGCCAGAAATGTAATGATAGCTCAATTTTGGAAGCACTGATGCAAGAACACTGAGACCTAGAAGCGTAGCAATGCTGTTTAACGTAGATACTTGAACCATATTAAACAGGAACAAGCCGAGCTGGATTAATTTCCTTTTTTATTTAAATTCACATTTCTGGCCACAATTCACTTGGCACTCTAATCATACCTATTTTCATAACATTTACATTTTTGGTACTATGGGCGATAGAACAGATGAATTTAGGGGGAAGAGCATAAAATCTAGAATCGTTAATTTTAAGGTTGCCAATTATTTCATAGAGCAGCCATCGTATTTTGTTATGTCTTACACACACACGCACACACACCATATATATAAAACTCATCTGTTTTATTATTATTATTTTAAATTTAATTTTTGGTACTTTTACAAAGTTTAAACTCTAAGCTAGTAGATCCTCCCATACAATCTTGTATATTTTGACTAATAGCAAATTGCTATTTATTTTATTTTGTACATTGGCATTACCAATCCATTATATATAGTTTTTATTACACCTTAATGTGTTTCTTCAAGCGGACGCGTCGCGAAATTGGAACAGAGAATTGAAACTAAAGATTTTGGCAAAGTTTATTCAATTAATTTATAAAAAGTGTTTCGTATACAGTTTCAATTGTCTGTTTCGGCGGAACGCGATATGGAGTTAGCTTGATACGCAAATTATTAAAAATAATTTTCCTTGAAGAGCCACAATGAAATTCGAATTAGGCTAATCTACCATTTACCGCTTCTTAGTTTTTATATTTTTGTTTAAATCATTTGTCGCACTTTAATTCTAATGTTTAAAATATGCCTTACTTTAATTAGCATATTGCTTACAATTAGAATTGAATTTTATTTGTAAATATTCAAGTGTTTGTATTGTTTATTTTATCTTTATAACACATTTCATTGCACCTTATTTTACTTATGTTAATATTTTCACGGAACCACAGTATCTAAGCAACTTTTTAGCGTACGAACTAGGAAATTTCTTTTAACTTTTTCCTAAATTTTGCAGCTCAGTGCGCAAGGTTTTTGACCACATAGGTCTTTTATTGTTTGTTCTTTTTATTTTAATTAGTTATATACGTATATATATATATATATATAATCTTTTGTCCCATTGGGAAAATATCTTCTTGGTTCAGACAATGTTTTCTAATTTTAAACAATCTTAGCTGCTTATTTCACAGAAGTGTTTTTTGTTTGGAAGGTTTTAAGCCAGATATATCATTGTTCGGAATTCTTACGCAGTGAGAATAATTGAAGGAGTATACGACTTTACTCACTATCATATAATATTCGCAATCTCACTGACAAAAGACAACATGAGAATTTTTAGTACATAACTCTTTCTCAAGAAACTATGTTGAAAACTAACACAGAAGCAACAGTTAAGTTTTAGGGGCAAAAATAGCAACTGGTTGCATTATCCTTCAATGCATTATTGTACTCAGTTTCAGAAAAAGACCACGAGTAATCCTTTGACCTAGTAGAAGATAAACTTTCTTTAACGTTAATAAAATGTAATCATCAGACCAGTTTGCTCTGTAAAGTAACGAAATAATGCAGTAAATCAATATGATACTTTATTCTACGAAATCTCCAGCTTGAATGGGGGGGTACTAGTTTTATTTTCTACGACTAGGAAAGGCTATTAGTTTTTTCTGCTTTATACCCTTTTAAACACTAAAAGATATTAAAATGTTTGTACAGCATTAGACAAATGTAGTAGTCAAGAACTATATTGCTATTTTGCAGTTAGAGAATAATAATCCATTTCCAAAAGACGATTTAAATTTTATCTTTTCTAAAAGCCTAGGAAGTTAATTATTTAGGCAAACCGACTAAGATAAATATACGAATTAATTAATACGTTACAATGCAAATGCAATTCTTATTGTGGAAAATAAATAAAATTATGTTGAAAATACAAAACAGTATTTCAGGTAATGCAGATTTCAATAAGCGAACAGTAAACTCTCTGTCGAAATACTCTCCGAAAAGACTGACTCTTCTGTTTCGAAGATTACGTAATATTTTTGTTGAACGCTTAAAATTTTCCGATCAATCTTTCGGATATGACAGCCTTCTAAAAATCTCCAGTTGCGGCGCGAAAGCGTTTTTACAAAAAGAAAAAATATTAAATGATAAACATCCTCAGCTCCAGTATATAGATGCCACAGATTAAATTGAAGAGTTGTTTTATATTTCAAAATTAGTCAATTATCGAACATACTTTGCTGCTATAAGATTTTTTTCACTAAATTTCCTGATGTATCTTAAAGAAAAGGAAATTAAAATAATTTTGAAAATATTGATTTAAGAAAGGAGAAAGCAAATATAAAAGCTACTCTCTTTTCCCGGCCTAATTCAATAGGACTTCAATTTTTTTTATTCTATTAGCATCCAAATATATGAATAAATGTAATTATTGTGAGGCAAAAACGTTTAATATAACTTATATTTGAATCAGTATTTTTCTTTATTTTAACATGTTCTCATTCCATAACACATTTCATATATAATCTAGATGAATATGTCCTCCATATCTGTATGTTTATTGTGTAGAATACCATTAATGAATTAGAGAACAATCTATGAATTTTGTGTTTATTTTTCTTTTTAGGTTTCCCATGTTTAGAACACTAAGGAAATCAGAAATGTTCCAAAATATCTACTGTTTACACGTAATAATGATACATTACTTTTAAAATGTTTTTATCGGATTTCATTTATTTTGAAAAATCAGTCCTTCTCAAATACTTGAAATAAATGAGCTATGAACTGAACCTTCAAAAATAAATAATTCAAATTATTTTTATTGACATTTTGAACCAGAAATAATGGTAGACAAATGTTTAAAATTTTGATATTTTATATATTTTTTTAATTAATTACATTATATAAAGTGATGCATATTATTCGAAGACGGAATCTCCGTTAAAGAAAGTATTCCTATTTTCAGCTTGCAAGAACTTTCCTTTCCATCTTATTTAATTTGTTGCACATGCAAGTTAAAATATTTTTTTTCTATTTCTGAACAAAGTTTAATTTTATACTAAACATAATTCTCGCTTTGGTTTCCACCTTTGAGGGCTTGCAGTCTGAATGCATTTCGGAATCTAGTAAAGCAAAATTTATGAAACAGCTGATATGTCTTAAACGTTTTACTACTAAATTTAATTCATTTATTATTTTTCAAGCGACTGATGAGCTTCATTCTTCTATTTTCTGCCAGATTGCAGGCAAAATTTTAACCCATGCGATCTGACGAAAGCCTAACATCACATTTTTTTCTGAATTCAGAACCCATGTGCCTAGAGATAAATTTTTCAGCATTGAGCTAGCAAGACATTATTAATCATTTGCATAAACTTTTGATCTGAACCAGTTGAAATGGCGGACACCAGGAAAAGTTAGAACAGTATGCAACTAAACATTTAACGACGAACAAAACTTAAAATACTCACAGCTGTTATTATTTCTCCTATGAGCAACTCAATTTTCTAAGAGAACCGATTAACAAGCTGTCGTTATCAACATGATCGTTCACATACATCACTAAATTGAAATCATCTGATATTAATTCTAAGGCTAAAAGCATATAGCTAAAAGCAAACGCTGTTTCTGATGGGGATACATCTAATGCCATATTCAGGTACTTCTAAACATGTAAAAAGATTTTAATGTAAGTAAGATTTTCTGTGTAAGTATGAAATGTATACAGCAATAGCATGAGTTATTTGAGTTCTTTTATGGATAAAGAGCATCCTGTCGAATTTTATTCTAGTTACAAATTTACAAAATAAAATTCCTTAAAAAATGAATTGCATACTTCTCCATTCGAACTGAAATGCAAAAAACTGAACTTTTTAATGTTAGTTACGGTTTGGAACATACTATGTTTTATATTTATAGATAATCAGAAAAAAATACCTTTCTTTATGCAAACTATGATTTCTTCACAAAATAGCTCAGCGGTTTTTTCCACACAGATCAATCTTAAGGCGAAATTATAAGCAAATGACAACTTCTGTAAACATATAAGTAATTTGTATTAGAATTTTGATTTAGTTTCCAACTCCATGTCGAAAGTAATTCATTTAGTGCACCTGAAATTTATATTATTTAACTGATGGAAAAGGATTAATTCAACTTTGCTTACATTAAATAATTCAAAAACTAATTCAAAATTCCTTTTTTTTTTTCATTTCTTCTTCTTTACTCTTTGTTTGAAATATTGAGAGCTTTTTGTTTTTATTTTGTTGTCAGGTAAATTTTTTATTTCTTTCTATGAAGTAGTGTTTTTATTTTTATTTTTTTTTACATTTGGTCTAAATTGTTTTATATATACACACAAACACACACACACACACATATATATATATATACAATAATTAAATAAATAATTAATATTAATTACTACTTACTAACGAAAAAAAAAGTATAATACACAAAAAAATTAAAACAATATAAATATGTAACAGAGAAGGTATTATTTAAAATTAAAAAAAAATTTTTAAAAATATAATGCTTTCAAAATGAAAGTTTCGAAAACTGAAATTAATAAGAATAAGTCAAGTAAATACTTAGAAAACTGAATAAAGGAAACATGGGAAACAATGAATAAATTTTTCGAAATATTTATTGGAATTAATTCTTCTCGATATTTACTAATTTCAATTCCGTTCATCATAGAAAATTCACTTTGCTGCGCTGGTTAAAAAACTCTGCATAGACGTTGTATTTATATATATATTTATATATATTCCAAAATGAAAACTAGATGAATAAGCTGAAAACCATTGTGGGATTCCACCCTTTTATCTAACAACTAAATGTGGAGGAACCTAGTGTATACCTAAGCGAATAATAGCTTTAGTTCAGGAATAAAGACGTAAACTCAAGAAGAGTTAATTACCCTTTATTGCTTAAAATAAGAGTTAACCGATGCCCCTTTCACAGGGCGTACAGGAAAAGCTCCACTTGGGCTTGAACTCAAAATAATAAGAAATAAGACTTTACTAATGCTTAACTAAAGAGATGTAGCCGAAGCTATCAAAATTCTAAGTAGTTGGCACCTAAGTATCGAATAAGTTAGCCAAGCTATCAAGTGCCCGTAACACGGCAGAGCGTAGTAACAGCTTAGAGAGGCGTGGCCAAAAGATAAACGCGCGCTAGTCAGAAACTCTGAGGCTCTCTTTCGAAGTCAGTGGAACTTCGACTTAAATACTACTCTTACTCATTTGCATTAAATGCGATTTTAAAAACACATTCTGGCAGGAAATTGTAAATTAAAATTAGGAGGGACAGGAAAGTAGCTTTAACTAAAAATAACTGTTAAAAACTTAGGATGAACCTTACAACATATTAAAACAATATTATTTAAAATTATTTGTTTTAAAATGAAATGTATTACTATGTAATTGTTAAAAAGTAATATTATTTTAAATTTAATTTTTGGCTTTATTGCCGTGTTCATTGTGTAGATTAGAAACATGGCTGGACTGTTACATTATCTTGTGGCAGCAACCTCATGAAGCGATGTTACGATATGTATAAAACCTCATTCTAATTTCCTTGAAGTATTTTTTTTACACTTTTTTCTAGTGTATCGAGCTCTGACTGGGAACTCCGAGATTAATTTCTAAAATTAGAAGTCCAGAGCTCTTTGGAAGACTATCAGGAAAGGTGAACATAAATAATTTATAATTAAAATTAAATATTAATAATTCAAATATTACGCTGGTTCTTGTTGCTTTACTTCTAAAATAATCATTATTCGGCGTGTTATTTTAACCTAAACCTGTAAAAGATACAAATAAAAATTAAAACATTATGTCAAATTAATAATACCTAGTTAAATAATGCATTAAAGCATTATACCTCTCCTTATTTGGTGATGCCGTTCATCTAAGTGCTTTGCTACGCTATTTTATATGCAGGGTAAATCACCTAAAACTAGAACTACAATTACTTCTGAAATAAAAGGTGTTACTGAATGAGAATTCCGCAGAATGGAAGTTTAGGTAAAGGCTCATAATTTGGGCAATGTATGGATTTTAATAGTTATTAAGTTTCGAAGTTTTTTCAAAGTTTCATGTTTTCAAATAGAACAATGCATATTGACATTAATAAAATAAAACCAGAGGCAATTAGAATGTTATGGATGCTTTTTTGCAGGATTCTAGCGCAAGTAGTTTATGAGCTATCGTAACATCAAAATTGTAAATACCGTGAGTTATCTGATACATTTAATGAAGTAGTAACTGGCTACGATGTGTGTATACTTGTATACATTTGCTTTATTTTACGCGACTTGCATTGGGACTTTCTTGTCAATACTTTGTGACAGTTCATAGAAGCAAGACATAGTGGAAGATGGCAATTATTAATTCTGCAAAAGCGAACATGCTCGTGGTGTAGGGAGAATATAGGAAGAATGCTGTAATTTCTTGTATTGTGTATGTTAAAGGATATCTCAATAGACGTAAACTATCTCGATAATTATTTGTGAAACTTACAACCGATTACTGTAAAACCTAGAAGTGTAACACCTAGAAGAATAACGGAAACAATCTTGGGATTGGAGAAGAGCGCGAAATTAATGTTGTTGATGTTGCTCGAGATTCGCAAGTTAATTCTAAGCATATCGCAAGAAGGAGTTTCATCAGTCAACGAAGTGTGCTACGTATTCTTCACTATCACAAGTTCCATCTGTTTCATGTCAATCAAGAGTTACATGGAGACAATTTTGAAAATCGTGTTAACGTTTATACATGAGCATTAAGACCTTATACACTAGATTTGTTATGCATTTTGTTTAGTAATGAAGGGAGTTTTACAAATCATGTCCGCATCAACAGCAGAAACATGCACTATTATTCAGTGAATAATCCCCATTGTCTTCATCCAGTGAAGCACGTGAGTCCTCGGAGTGTAAATGTGTCGTGTGAAATAATAAACCATCTTTTTTTAGGCCCATAGTTCATATACGGAACTCTGGATTCCAATAAGTATGCTAACCTTTTTCAAACGAAATTACACAGATGTTAGATTTATCTCTACAGACTTGGGATATCAGCACGTGATTGTTTCTATCTTAGTGCAAAACTTGCTACAGCTTGTGTTTACCAAGTGTTTCAAAACCACTGAATTGGATGAAAGAGCGTTTTTCGTTGTTCGGTCTCTTGATAAGATCTGACCTCTTTGAATTATTTTCTGACGAGAAAACTAAACGATACTATCTGCAAGACATGCCGACTACGTCAGAAGATACGAAATGACGTATTACAGCTGCCTGTTCTGAAATTTGGGCTGTAATGGTTTAATGTGGGGAGCAATCTTTAAATGACAGACTGGAGACTTGTATTGTAGTTGGTGGCCATATTTTTTAATACAACCTGTGAATACCACAGTCTATTTCTTCCTCAGAATTTTCATAATTTTATTCTTCACTTTTGTACTTCTTAAAAATGCGCTATTCCATGATGCATGCGAAACAATTAAAAAGTGTAAGATGTGTTTATTGCAGAATTAGCAACAACACACAAACACACGTATACAATGCAAAATTAAACTTTTTTATGCGTTTTCTGGTCTGTATACTTCTTACCTTTAAAACAATTTGCGCTCCTTATAATAAAACACGCAAATTTTTAATCCCATATTGCAAAATCTGAACAGCTAAACATTAAAGTCAGGAATCATATTTGGGAGCCATACACAAACTAAAGCGTGAAATGTGTGCACATGTGACTGTAACTAAAAATAAAGTGTCAGTTTAGAAAATGATGTCTGATATTCAGCGATTAAGTGA